CTTATCCAGACGTGTTTCAAAGACTGGTTCATATTGTTATAATATTTGAGCGCTACTTGAACTGAGTGCGCTTCACGTGAGGCCCCGAGGAGGGGAAGAGTGGGGAGGAGGTCTGAAGATCGAAGGAGCTTCGGAATGATAGCGTCGGTCTCTGGAGGAGGCGAATGGAATGGAGTGGAGTGGAGTGAAGGGTATCTGGCAGGAGTGGGAAGGGCCGCCAGGGGTCAGGATGACGTGAGTTCACAAGACAAACTCCCTAAACTGACAATGGTGGTGGCGATGTTGCTGTTGGTGTTGATGTTGGTGATGAAAGTGTTGGCGATGGTGTTGGTGTTCGGAAACCGTTGATGCTGATGGTGATGATGAGCCCGTCTTTGCAACACGTCCGGATCCGCCAGCCCCCTTGTGGGGCCACCGGGCTGTAGGCGCGGGTTCGCAGTTTCCTGTACCAGTTGTAGCTTGTAGTTTCCAGTGTTACAATTCTGCTTCTTGCTGGTTGCTGTAATAACTAGTTGATTGACCGCGCGAGGGGGGGGGAGGCCCAAACAAGATTTTTAGCGTCTCCTGGGCGCGTTGTCTGAATTGCTGCGGAGGCTCGAAATCGACACCCCTCACGCAGATCCGCGGGGTCAGGGTCAAAAAACACAGGGGATTTGCCACATTTCTGAAATTCGGTGCCACCCCTCACGCAGATCCGCGGGGTCAGGGTCCCAAAACACATAGGATTTGCCACATTTCTGAAATTCAGTGTCACCCCTCACGCAGATCCGCGGGGTCAGGGTCAAAAAACACAGGGGATTTGCCACATTTCTGAAATTCGGTGCCACCCCTCACGCAGATCCGCGGGGTCAGGGTCAAAAAACACATGAGATTTGCCACATTTCTGAAATTCGGCGCCACCCCTTGCGCAGATCCGCGGGGTCAGGGTCCAAAAACACAGGGGATTCGGCACATTTCTGGAATTCGGTGCCACCCTTCACGCACATCCATCGCAAGGCGTGGTAACCCAAACTGCGAGAACTCCCTCGGCCCTTTAATCGCAAGGTGTGGTAACCAAGCCCGTAAACCATACACGTCTTACCAATCGCCAGGTGTGGTAACCCCTCTTGTGATCAGTTGGTTTTGCTGATTGCGAATCGGCTTCGCATGAAGTTTCGATACTGCTTCACGACAGCGCCAATGCCTCATGACTTAGCTCTTCCATGGCCCTTTCTCCGAGAGAGGGGGCCGGCGGCAGGGGGCGAAGCCCTTACGGATAAGAATAATGTCGTGGTTACGATGTTGTGTATGTACATGTGGGCGTGCAGATAGCATGAGTGTGCAAGTAACAGGGCGCTGCCCCCCCCCCGCCGCATGCCTCTGCTTTCGCGGGGCTGGTACAAATGGATAGAACTGCTCATAGAACTGGTCATAGAACTGGTCCGTTGAAAAAACGGTCCGGCATAGAACTGGTCGTTTCAAACAAAGACTCCAAAATTTTGAAACTCTTTCTCTTTCGAATTTCGACCAGTTCTATGCTGGACCATATTTTCAACTTCCCAGTTCTATGACAAGTTCTATGACCAATTCTATCCAGTTGTACCAGTTCCGCGAAAGCCGAGGCCTGCGGCGGGGGCGGGCAGCGCCCTGTTACCTGCACGCCCACGTTACCTGCACATCCACATGTACATCCACCACAACGAAATCACGAAACCCTTCTTACCCAGACGTGGGCCCCGTCCTGGGTAATGTGTTCCCTTGGCGGTCCTTGGGGCGGGACGCTAGCTTTCGGCGATGCCCCGAGAGTCCCCTCGCCCAGTTTTAAAGGCCCCATCGGGTTTTTCCTCCGAGCCTGTCTTAGCAGCCTGCAGCAAGCAAGACAAAAAGTTCCTTGGAGTTCCGTTCCGTTCCGTCCCCCCTCCTCCTCCTCACCCACGGTCCGCTCGTCCTCCCCGCCTCCCCACCCCATCCCCTCCCCTCCCGTCCTCCCTCCTTGCATAATTCTCTCCTCTCCTCCTCCTCCTCCTCCTCCTCCTCCTCCTCCTCCTCCTCCTCCTCCTCCTCCTGCTCCTCCTCTTCCTCCTCCTCCTTCTCCTCATCTTCATCATTTCATGCTCAGCAAACCTGAAGTGAACACCTGTGGCGTTCTTGATTTCGAAAAACGAATTGCGTACGCGACTCGGCTCACACAGTACCTGGCGGGCGCCTTAGGAAATGAAGGAAAATAAGCCCGAGACGGTAATAGATAAAGGAGTAGGCGCCCGCCAGGCACAACAGGCCGGCACGAACCTTGATGTGAGAATCCCCTCAACACAATATCCATGATAAAGAATCATCCCCTCAAGTCTCAGCGGTGGTGCCGCCTCGGCAGGCGAGGTGCAGGCAAAGGAAAAGCTGCTAAGAACGACATCCAAGTGGATGGGCGCGAAACTAGACGTAGCAGTCCTGGGGTTGCTGCCCAGGGTGTAAGGTTGACCCCAAGCCGCAGGTACAGTGGGGGCGTTGACCTAAGGAACGCTAAATAAGGAACGAGGCCCCTTTTTCCCATCAGTTAAAGTTCGATGTCCCATCGAAAACCTAAGAAAAACCTAAGGCAAGCTGTGCAACAGTCAAGGAACACGGAGCCCCTCCCCACGAAAAGGGTTCCTTCTTCAGGGCCCCGACTGTACGTCCTTCCCAAGAGTCCCCAGCATCGAACTACTTCCAATGCAGATCCTGCCCACGCCCCCCCTTCAGAAGCTCGGTGAGGCTGGCTGCGCTGCGCGCGGTCAAGCAGCAAACATGTGAGGTCTAGGCTGGCCCTGCGGGGCTGGCCTGTCATTGCCTGTGGAGGCACAGGTTTCCAAGGTGCATCTGGGAAATCACTGTGAGGCTGGCTGTGGCTGCGCGCCGTCGAGCAGCAAACGTGTGTGGTCTAGGCCGGCCCTGCGGGCTGGCGCCTGTCACTGCCCGTGGAGACACAGGCTTGAGAACTGGTGCAACGAGAAATGGAGAAGGGGCCTGCAACAGAACCATGCGGGTGTCCGGACAGTGTAGCAGTTCTTGGTTTGCCGCCCAGGGCTCATGGCTAACCCTAAACTGAGCAGGTAACCGCATGCCGATGATAATAAAGGGACCCCCCCCCTTCAGTGTTTAGAGTTGATTATCGTCGCCCTATACAAAATTCAAATTGGGCGGCGAGCGCTTAGGCCGAACTTCATTATCACCTCGAAACGCTATGTTGAGATAGCAACATCAAGCGATGTTGATATAGCAACATCAAGCGAAGCGATCACACTTTTTCAGGATGTGTCAAGCGAAACCAATAATTTTGGGAGGCGGACTCAAACGAAACGAGCAATGTTTCAAGGATGTGTCAAGCGAAACCAATAATTTTGGGAGGCATACTCAAACGAAACGAGCAATGTTTCAAGGATGTCTCAAGCGAAACCAAACATTTCGGGAGGCAGACTCAAACGAAACGAGCAATGTTCCAAGGATGTCTCAAGGATGTTTCAAGCTAAACCAGCAAGTGTTTTCTTTTTATTTATATTGTTATTATCTTCCTTTTTATATATGTATATATCCCCGCGCGCGCCTGAACTTTTTTTTATCTCTGGGGTTGATTATCCATGGAAAGGGGAGCACAGGAGCTACCCTACATGAGCACTTTAAAAAAAAAAAAAAAAAAAAAAAAAAAAAAAAAAAAAAAAAAAAAAAAAAAAAAAAAAAAAAAAAAAAAAAAACAATTTTCATAAAACGCTTGTAAATTAAAATTGATAGATTTGGAACTTTCCATGTTTTCCGTTATTTTTCTCTTCTTCTTCTTCTCTTCTTCTTCTCTTCTTATTATTATTCTACTTTCCTCTTCTTATTTTATATTTCTATCTGTCCTCACGCTCGCCTGAACTGTTTTATCCCTGGGGTTGATTATCCATGGAAAATGAAGCACATGAGCTACCCTACACGAGCACTTAAACAATCAATGTTCATAAAGCGCTTGTACATTAAAATTGATAGATTTGGAACTTTGGATGTTTCCTTTCTTCGTCCTCTTCTTATTCTCCTCTTCTTCTTCTTTCTTGTTATTATTATACTGTATTCTTCTTCTTTTATATTTCTCTCTGTCCCCACGCTCGCCTGAACTTTTTTATCTCTGGGGTTGATTATCCATGGAAATTGAGGCACATGAGCTACCCTACACGAGCACTTACAACAAAACAATTTTCATAAAGCGCTTGTAAATAAAATCTAATAGATTTGAAACTCGAGATTTTTTTATTATTTTCCTCCTTCTCCTCCTCCTATCATTTCTTTTATTTTATTATTTATTATTTTTTCTTTTTTATATATAGCTTCCTCCATTCCTCCGCCCGCCTGAACTCTATTATCGCCGCCGTTGATTATCTAGGGACGCGAGGATGTCTCCAGCGGATAAGCCATTGTTGAGGATATCTCCAGCGAGATAAGCCATTGTTGAGGATATTTCTATGAAAACTAAACGCCAAGGATGTCTCAAAACGTGCTCGGCTTGGTCTCCTCTTGATCATCTCTTACTTCGAGATTATGCTGAGGTCTGCTGGGCTACTTTTATTGTCTCTCCCTGAACCCCGAACTTTATTATCCCCTAGTGTTTATTCTCACGGGCATGAGGTTATTCCCTCCCCCGCCCCCACCATGCCCACACACCCCGTCCAAAATATCAGAATGAGGCTGGCTGTGCTTGTCAGGCAGAAAAATGCGGTAAAGGCTGGCCCTGAGGGTTGGCCCACCTCCTCCTGCTCCTCCTCCTCCTCCTGCTCCTTTTCGGCCTCCTCCTCCTGCTCCTCCTCCTGCTTCTGCTCCTGCTCCTCCTGCTCCTCCTCCTCGTCCTCCTCCTCCTCCTCCTCCTGCTCCTTTTCGTCCTCCTCCTCCTCCTCCTCCTGCTTCTTCCTCCTCTGCCTCCCCTTGAAAGCCGCGGGCGCTGCCCACGCGTGCCGCTGGGCCTGCCCAAAGGGCGACGCCGCGCGTGGCCATCGGGGCGCTCTCGCCGAGGCGCGGGCGCTGGAGGCGTTGAGGAACATCCGCTTCCGCCGCTCCTTGGGCGGGCGAGGAAAGGAGGGCAGCGGGGGGGGGAGGAGGAGGGGGAGGAGGAGGAGGAGGAGGAGGAGGCGGAGGAGGAGGAGGAGGAGGAGGAGGAGGAGGCGGAGCCGTGCGACGCCCCCACATGGGGTGCAGAACACTCGTAATCGATCGGTGCTTGGGGAGGGGGGCTTTTACGCAAGAGGCCAATCCTCCCGTGCGTCCTCTTCCCAACATCACGCGAAGAACTGCGCAGGGAGCTTCGCCACCCCCGCTGGGGGGTAAAGGCCATCTCATCCCCCGCTTTCGGGGTGAGACAACTCCGGGCTGTTCGAACATGACAAGCTTTCCGGGCCGTTCGCGCGACAGCCGTGCGCCGTTCGCGCGATTAACACCGGGCTGTTCGAACATTTGGCCTGGGTCGCTAGCATGATAAACTTTAACTTTCTGCGCTGCTCGCGTGACAGCCGTGCGCCGTTCGCGCGATTGCTGCAAGCGCCGTTTTTGCGATTCCCATCGACGTCTTTCGTACAATGAAATCTGTAAACCGTCCAAGTCCCGAAATCCGCAAATCTTCACGAAATCTGTTTCAGAACAATCGAAATAAAAAGACTGAAGCGGTGAACGCGCACCGAGCAATTTCTAAAGAATTGAGCAAGTATGTATTTTACTTTCGTCGTCTCCAGCGGGGGGCGAATAAGCAACCGACGAAATTCGCCATAAAGCATCTCAAAGCACATCGCGGGGCAGAAACTCACTTAACAGCGCAAACGCGTAGAAAAACAAAGGCGCACATGCGCCTGCCCGCAAGGGGACGCCGACGCGCAGAGAAGAAACGAAGAGAGGAGCGCAAGTGCGTGCAACGAAACCCCCGCGCAAAGAAAGACGCCGGCGCCCAGCGGAGCGCAGAACAACGAAGGCGGGGAACAAAAACCGCAAGCGCGCATAGGAACACAAAACCGCATGGGAGCGCGGGCGCGCAAAGAAATGACTACTCACAGGAGAACGCCGAAGCGCGGAAGACTGCAAACGCACCGCAGACCGCAACAGCGCAGAGCAGCGCAGGCGCACGAAAAAACGCAGAGGAACGCGTCCGCGCGGAGATCAATTGAGAAACGCATCAACCTGAAAAACGCATGAACGAAAACGCAAGACGGAATACAGACGCACAAAGAAACAGATACGGAAGATCGTGCGCAACAACAAAAAAACGCAGGCGTAACGGAAATATAATTAAAGAACGCAAGCCTGCAGAGAGACGCGAGTCCACAAAAGAGCACAGGCGCACTTCGAAGAGTTACGCGTTCGTCGACATGCTTCCGGAACCAGGCCGCGCGGAATCCCACCAGCCCTCTGGGCGTGAGTGGTTTAGGGATTTTCCTCTTCCCCTTCGGTGAAGGGTTTATCACTGCTTCCAATTAATATACGCCCCCTCCCCCAGGCGACTGGGAGCCAACCCGAGACCATGCGGGCCCCCCTCCCCCACCATCCCTTGCAAAAAACGATACGAACACACACTCTGTCTCCAAATCCGGATCATGCGCAGCGAACCCGGTGCGGCCTCCCCCCACCATCCCTGTCAAAAAACACTACAGAGTACACTTGGCGGCGGCGGCGGCGGCTGCGGCGGCTACGGCGGGGGCTGCGGCTGCGGCGGCTGTGGAGGCTGCGGCGGTGGCAGCAGGTGGCGGCGGCGGCGGCGGCGGCGGGGGCGGCGGCGGCGGCGGCGGCGGCGGCGGTGGCGGCGGCGGCGGCAGCGGTGACGGCAACGGCTGCGGCGGCAGCGGCTGCGGCGGCAGCGATTCGGCAGCGGGGGCGGCGGGCGGCGGCGGCGGCGGCGGAGGCGGCGGCGGCGGATTCGCCCCCCCAGTAGCTGCCCATCCAAAGACCACTGCTGAATATGCTGCGGCTCGGGCCAGGCTCGGGTGCTACGTATGTGTTGGGAGGGCGGGTGGGTGTGAGCGAGACGGCTTGCGGGCGGGGAAGGAATCTTGACCCCTCCCCCTACCCCCTCCCATGGACCTGGACGAGGGGTTCCGCGACGCGCTGGAGCGTCCGAAACGGCCTCGGCGAGGAAGCCAATATCATTGGTTTTACTATGGTGTTGGCCCCAGTTTGGCCTCCTGAAGGGGGACCGTAATTGGCCCCCCCCCCCTTCTTTGATCGATGTCCTCCAAGATGACCCCAAGAGGCGCCCAGGAGGCCCCAAGAGGCCCCAATATGGGCCCAAGATAACCCCAAGATGGCCCCAAGATGGCCCCCAAGAGACCCCCAAGAGGACCCCAAGCGGCCCCAAGAGGCCTCCGCGAGGCACCCAAGACGCCCAATAATCCCTCAGGGCCGCCAAGAGACCCCCAACACGTCCCAAGAGGCCTCCAACAAAATTATCCCGGCAAAGCAACCTAACAGCGATATGTAGAAGCATATCTGAAAGCATTCCCCTTCAGATTCAGATGAAAATCCAGTTGTAGAATTTTGCTGTTCTCGCAGTCGTAGTCGCATTCGCGATGACAGTCGCAGCGGCAACGGCAGTCGCAGTCACAGCCTCAGCCTCAGCCTGCCTCAGCCTCAGCCTCAGCCTGCCTCAGCCTCAGCCTGCCTCAGCCTCAGCCTCAGCCTGCTTCAGCCTCAGCCTCAGTCTGCCTTCAGCCTCGGCCTCAGCCTCAGCCTGCCTCAGCCTCAGCCTGCATCAGCCTCAGCCTCAGCCTCAGCCTGCCTCAGCATCAGCCTGCCTCAGCCTCAGCCTCAGCCTGCCTCAGCCTCAGCCTCAGCCTGCTTCAGCCTCAGCCTCAGTCTGCCTTCAGCCTCGGCCTCAGCCTCAGCCTGCCTCAGCCTCAGCATCAGCCTGCCTCAGCATTCAAAATGTGGCCCAGGAATGGAGTTCTGGGAACTAGAAGAACACGAAGTGGCCTACAGTTGGCTCCGGGCATTCAAAATCATGCCCAGGAATGGAGTTCTGGGAACTTGAAGAGCACGAAGTGGCCTACAGTTGGCTCCGGGCATTCAAAATGTGGCCCGGGAATGGAGTTCTGGGAACTCGAAGAGCACGAAGTGGCCTACAGTTGGCTCCGGGCATCCAAAATGTGGCCCGGGAATGGAGTTCTGGGAAGTCGAAGAGCACGAAGTGGCCTACAGTTGGCTCCGGGCATTCAAAATGTGGCCCGGGAATGGAGTTCTGGGAGGTCGAAGAGCACGAAGTGTGTGACTGTTGGCTTAAAACGACTTCTGCGGCACCCTGTCCGGCACCCGCCCAGACCCCCTTGTGGAGTCATCTGCTGCTCTCTTTTGAGACCACTAGAAACCTATCAGAACAAGCTGTTAGGTAAAAAACGAGAGATATCCCAAGGGGCTCCGAAAGGCATTCAGGATAACTCCAAGGGACCCCGAAGAGGCTTCAAGAGGATCCCCGAGCCCCCCCCCCAGACGCTCCAAGAGGTTCCCCAAAACAACTCCCAACACACATCTTAAGGGGATATTATGTTAGTCATGTTCCTCATCCTTTTCCATGACATTATTGCTATTACTGCTATTACTACTAATTCATATTAGTATTAACAGTATTACTATTTTCATCACCACCACCACCACCACCACCACCACCACCACCATCATCATCATCATCATCATCATCATCACCACCACCACCACCACCACCACCACCATCATCATCATCATCATCATCATCATCATCATCATCACATCACCATATCATCACCATCACCATCACCATCACCATCATCATCATCATCATCATCATCATCATCATCATCACCACCACCACCACCACCACCACCACCACCACCACCATCATCATCATCATCATCATCATCATCATCATCATCATCATCATCATCATCATCATTATTATTATTATTATTATTATTATTATTATAATTATTTTTAATATTATTGTTATTATTATGATTATCATTATTATGACTATTAGCATTATTAGTATTATTAGTATTATTACGACTAGTATTACTATTATGATTATTTATCGTTATCATTATCACTATTATTATCCTCTTCCTCCTCCTCCTCCTCCTCCTCCCCCTCCTCCTCCCCCATAATCCGCCTACTCATCATCCGAGAGCAAACACCACCAGCAGCAACAGCAGCAACACTAGCGAAAACAACAGCAGCAGCTGTACCAACAGGAGCAAGAGCACCAGCAATAACACTTGCAACCTTCGCCGCAACAGATCTCCCAATTCACCGTTGTTGCCCGCTCTGGTTCACTATGTGCGTCTCTTCGTTCCTTCCTCCTTCAATTTTCCTCGGCATCCTTTTTGAATGGGCTGGTGGGGGTACGCGAAGCGTCACAATTCTCAAGAGAGCGCGTTTCTGTTCTCGCACAAGCGAATAGCGGAGCGCAGTCGCGGAAATGTTTTGGGGCGCGCAAAACAGCACTGGAGCGCGGAAAGCGCAACAACGCAGACAAACGCGCAGAAGAACGCGGACGCGCAGAAAAGCGCAGGCGAGCAGATGAAACGCCATCACTAAGCCCACCCCCGTCCAGTCAGCTTCTGAAGGGATAGCGTCTCGGCGTATCTCGATGGCGCCTGCGCTGCTCAGGTTTCCGCAGAGATCGATTTCGAGTTCCATTGGCTGCGTTTCTGTTCGGCTCGTTTTTGAATATCGTTTATCCAATCCCCATCCCCAGCGGCGTGGCCTGCGCCCCACTGGCCGGTTTCCCCCCCTAGATGGGGATATAGGCCGTCCCCTTCGGGTGTCGAGGGGGGTATCCTCAACTGAGGTGGCAATTTGGTGGGAGTGTCAGAGGGGATGTAGATGGGGATGGGGGTCGGATAAACGATAGTGAGTTGTCTTCAACCTTTCGAAGATTCTCGTTCTTTGATTCGAAATGGCTGCGCCGCCTTGGTCCGGGAACGTCGAAAACAACCCCCCGGCTTCCGAATGTTTCGTGACACATGGTTTCTCGATTGCTTAATTGCTTGCAAGCTGCATTCAAAATTGCTTCTTGTGCGTCGTCGAGTAATGGAGAATTACTCTGA